GATATTCAGAACAGGTTACTTTATTATAATGTTACCACATTGTTACATAATTCAAAATGTTTTATTCACTGTATATAATTTTCATGATGAATGGGGTAGGGGCCGCTGCGCGGCCTAGGCACCCAGTTTTGTTTAAATAAAACAGAAAGAAATATTTTTATTAGGGCCGCAAGGCCTCAGACGCCCAGTTCCACTACAACGAACGAAATATTTTTATATAACATTTTGATGTGTTAAATGATTTTACTTTTTTAGAAATTTGCTTTCTAACTATTATAATTATTATTTTAATTTTTCTCTTCTATGATTTCACAATTAGACCTTCAGTTTCAAGGTCTGTTTCGAGCTAGTGGTAATGCGCATTTCCTCGAAATAACCTACCAACTTTTAATCTTTTCGAGAATGATTTTCTCAAGTGGTAATAGAATTGAAAGAGTAGATTGAATTATGCAGGTAGCAATTTCAGTCATATGCAGAAATGCATTTTTAGTTTTTAGGAGCTTAACCGCATCATCGTATCAAGGATGCCAGGTTGGCCTAAATCTGTAAGAAGTGATGACTGATAAATAAAAAGCAAAAATCTAGATTGAAAGAGATTGAATTTAGTAACTTTTTTCTAGCATATTTCTTTAAGTTTCGAAGTCCATGTTAACGCATCATCATCATCGAAATTTATCTGGTTGCCAGAGGCCTGTAATGGCCCTTTTCACATCCATCTTGAAACTTTATCTTTAAGATTGCCCTTTCTGGTAGCTTTGATTCAAATTGGAGTGAAAAGAAAGCTGAAAATTTTGTACTTTAGATGAAGTTGCGACGTTACAAAAATAAGCTACCATTACCCTGAGGTTTATGTCCTCTCTCAAATTTTCAAAGGTAAAAATTTCATTAAATCCTGCGGAGTCATAATTTATGGTATTTTCAAAAAATATGTAATTTATACATGTCAACGCAGGGAATATTATCGCTTTATATATAGATAATCTAGCAAGTACTTACAAGGAGGTACTTACAATTTAGCGATTGAATAGATTAAATAAATTTTAAGCTTCTACATTTTATTATAATTTTAAGCGCACGTGGTAACTCTGCATCGGAAGATTCTTTCATACATATGTTTAATTTATTTATATGAACTTATGGTCAAAATTATTTTAAATTAGATTATAAAACCAAGAAATGAATGTAAAGCATTAATTTTACTATAAGTATAAAATAAAATTTTTACCCTAAATGCGTAAAAGTTAGCATCTATGCGAAAATGTTGTTATTTTGAAGAATTTTCCCGATGATTTTTCTCAATTTTATGAAAAAGGAGTACAACAATTATCAAGACTTATCTTTAAAACCATTTTTAAAGTTTATAAAGTGAACTTTTAGTTAATGCTCATTTTATTAATGCTTTATAAATTTGGGGTAACTGTTACATAATATATTGGAGTAACTGTTACTGATCATCGAGACTGCTAGATGGGTATTTTTTTATTCACTTCATATATTTATATTTATTTATTTTTAATATTTTGAGAGCTTGAAACTAGAATAAATCAAGAGCTAACCTACATCGGTTGGCTAGAATTAGCAGTCGGTATAGCAATAGCCATAAATGCAAGCCTGGATGTCCTAATTCCCCACTGTATTTAAAGTTATATCGAAATAAAAATTAAAGATTTTAATTTTGTTAATTTTGAAAGCAAATAAAAACATTGCTGCGTGATTGTCAGGTTATATCTATTTGCGTATTTATAGTTATAATCGAAATTATTTTAACACGTTCACGCCGGGAAAAGTGAAAATATTGGTACGGGAAAAGAGAAAATACTGGTAGAAGAACTATTTCAATATTAGATAATATTCAGGAGGAGTTAATCTATTCTCAACAATAACAATTCCCTGTAAGGAAATTTATCACTGCGAAGAAGCAATTCAATATAAAAATTGCATACGTTAAAAACAATTGGTAGTTATGGATTTTTATTATTCCCAGAAAAAAACTAAAAAATGAAATTTATTGTTACCAGTTTTTACTCCGGTGCGCTGCCAAGATGAGACAATCTAGCGTGACCCACCGGTGGGTCACCCCAGCGTAAACGTGTTAAGTCAGTTTTATATAATCAAAAATTAAATGGTGAAGTATAAAATGTACTACCACCTTAAATATTCAATAAAAATCTTACATTTAAGTGGAGAAGTTGCCGTGCACATTATTTGTCTCTAAATATGTTATTTTTTCATGTATCAAGGTATGATTTGTCTATATTTATCAATTATGTCTTTCATTTTTCAAAAATCAGTTATTGTACATATCAAATCATGTTTTATCTTTATTTTTAATTGAAGTCTAGAATCAATATTTCTAATGTTATGTAAAAACGCCAATTTGTCATATTGAAAATTTCATTGTTTTATTATTTCACAAGCTTGATTTTTTCGGCTTGATTTTTTTTTATGGCTACCACAATGTTTGCCAAATCAATGCATTTTACCTTATTGTATGTAATTTAATGATGAATGGGACAGGTGCCCAGTTTATTTAAAGAAAGAAAGAAAGAAGTAAGTGCACATTAATTGTTATCATTTTAAAGCTCAATTTTCTTCATATCAAAATATTTTTCGTAGTGGTAGAAAAGGTAATGATTTAATATTTTATTATATTAGAAATAAAAAACTTTAGCACACTTACTATCCATAAATAGTATTAACAAGTTGAATGCCATGGGGGTAACCGGCACTGAGTTTGTTCGTAGCGCCACGGGGGTCACTGGCGAATGGTAAAGCCAAGATTATTGGAAACACATAATTCGAATAAATTTTTAATTTTTTTATATTATTATCATTACTAAATTGCTTTGAAGTAATTAATGTGATATAGAAGACACAAAAATAGTTTTATATATATACAAAGCAATGCAAACTTGCTCCGGATAGCGAATAAATATTTTCAAGTGATAGTTTATTAACTGTGATTCTTGGTTTAATAGATTCAATTTGGAAGATTTTTATCCACCACTGTTTCAAACAATTCGTAGGAACGAGAAAACGTTGATAGGTATGCAAATAATACTATTATACAATTTGTCAAACTTAATAAATGCAACTAAGAAACTTTTTGCTAAATATTTCATAGAGTGGTAGACACTTTAATTTAAAGCTTTCAGAATTCTTGATAATTTTGCTAAAAATGTTTAAGCCTCACCACAAAAGCGCTGGCACATAGTGCAGAGATGCCAACTTGCTCCGGACAGCAAATATATATTTTTAAGTGGTAGTTTATCAATTGTGATTCTTGGTTTAATAAATTCAATTCAGTAGATTTTTATCCACCACTATGTCTAAACAATTCATTGGGTTATATAATTCACCACTTTATAGGAGTTATGTCATGCTATACAATATGAAAAACAAGCAAAAATAGTCAAATATTTGCAAAATTCACTTTGTAGTTATTTACCGTTTTATTAATTATTTTGGCGTGTTCGGAGCAGTTGGCATCTCCGCATAGTGGCGTTGCATATAAACTTTAAAATCATTTATATGTAGTGGTGGGGAAAATAAGTTTAAATAAAAAAATTAAAACATTAACTTAGCCACCATTAGAATAAATTTTTACAAAAAGCGTTGGAAGTTGGCAGCTCTGTAAATGTTATTTTATTTATCGTTATTTTCTATTTGTTTAAAATCCGCCTCTCTGTTTTATAATTTTTATAGAGCATTTTACTTACTTTGTTGCTTGGAATTTTTGTCCAGTTTAAAGATTTCATTTTATTTTTTGGCTTTGGAGTAGATTGTTGTGGAAGCTTAAGAGAAGGTTGTTGGACAGTCATTGACGCCAATTTAGGCTGGACAGTCGAACCTCCTGGTAGAGGAGGAGGTGGTGGTGGTAGTCCACCCATTGGAGGAGGTAGGGGTGGTGGAGGTGGTGCACCACTCAAACCAATTGAGGGAGGAGGAGGTGGCGGTGGTGGGGGTGGTGGACCAGGCACAGATGCTGATGTTTGAGAAACTGATGAATTTCCAGCAGATGATTGAAATAGAGGAGCACCAGGGACTCTTGGAGGAGGTGATATTGCTCTAGATAAGGTAGCTAGTAGCTCAGGACTGAAGAGAACTGATGAGTTCGTTGGACTAAGAATGCCTGGTGTCTTGGAACTATCAGGGTTTCCAAAATTTAAGTTCAATGGTGTTCGTTTACGTGTTCTATTCTCAGTTGCAGTACACTGCCCATCATTGTTGTTATGACATGAACACTGACACCGCCCACCAGTTTCTTGAAGTCCTCTCAAAAGCTTGTTCAGACTGTGGTGATAACTTGGAGTTCTTAGCAGTTTTTCCGAATCTTCTTTTGTTTCACAAAGTGTTGCACGATGAACTAATTTTTCTGCTGTATCCCAAATTAAGTCTGAGATAGGTAAGGAAGAATCTATTCGAAGAAGATGCTGGAGAATGTTTAGAAATGGTATTTCCTGAGGTGTGTCTGTTACCTGTAAAAAAAAGGGAATAATAATTTAAAAGACACTCGATTTGAATTCAACATATACCATTAACTCGATGAAAGCATTATGAGGTGTCAAATGTACTTTCCTTTCCTCTATTCAGCCTATTTCGAGTGCAGTTTTCTTCATCAAAAAAATCAATTGTTGGAAAAGTTCCTCAAAATATTTTAATATTAAAGTCCCTGTACAACAATAAATGTAAATCCTGCATCTGCTCTTAAATTTTTCTATTTCCCAATTCGTTTTGTTTTTAAGTCAGAAGGGAAGTTAAATTCCTGCATTTAATTTTTAAACTTACTATTAGAAAAAAATTCAGAAGTAAAATAGAAATCTACTAAATCCATGCAACCACGCAGTTGAAGATGGTGTTATTTAATATGATGAAATAGAGCTTTTTTAGTATGTCAAGTGATAAATATTTTAAATTTGAGTTTTGTATCATGCTTTCTGTAAATATAATTATTGTAATTAAGATTGCTCAAAAATTCCTAAAACCATTTGAAAAGAATCAAAAGTTATAACCTGTGACAAACTGTATAATATTGTATGGTAAATATTTGATTTTAATAAATAATTATGGATATTTCAACCAAAAAAAAATAAATTTGATCCGCTCTTTTTCAGTTATAATATTGAAAAATTTCATCTATGCACTCTAATTTTAGAAATCAGATTAATTAAACCAATCGAACTGCGGTACATATAAAAGTAAAAAAATAAATGCATGTTTTACTGAATTATTACTAACTTATTTAAATAATTTTATAATTATTCATTATTTATTGTTGATTGTTCATTATAAATCGTTAATTATTATTGTAGTTACCGTCGCATTTAGGTTTTTATTTATTAATTTAATTTTATGTGTAGTTTTTTATACTAAGATTAGTAGAGAATATCTAATCATTCCCAAAAATCATTTGTTATCTATAATATCTTAATACTACTATGACGACTGTTCGTTCTTTTATTAATGTATTTTATAAGAGTTCATTTTTAATTTATTTTAAAATATTATTTTCAAGATTTTTATATTTTATTTTATTTTTAAGGTAGTGTATTTCATAAACAATTTATTAGAAATCATGAAAATTGTCATTATGAACGATTTTAGTGACACCTAGTGAATAAAGTAAGAATGAGGAATGAAAGGATACCAATCAACGGATCAGTGCATAGGTGTAGTAATACGTGTAAGTAATAAATATCAGTGGATTTCTTTATGAGCGATTCCTTGAAAGGCAATTTTGTGAATATTTGAATCAGTAAGTGAAATGCATAAAAATGTTTATAAACCTATAAATTATTTCACTGCTGCCAACGACAGTTTTCTTATTTTTTTAAAATATTAAATGCAAAATACAACAATGAAACAGCAGAAACAATTGGTTTTGAAGAGTCAATAAAACTGTTCGCGACTTTTAAAGCACGAGTAAATAAATTTTAATGTTTATGCTTATATATTTGTTTGCCATAAAAGATTATACTCATTAAATGCATTACCTATAATAAATATTATTTTTAGAATAATTAAGGCGATATTCTTATTAATTAAACTGTTTTCCTTTTTAACCTCGAATGCGGTAATTGTTATTTATCTTCTTCACATGCTTCTCTATGCACCATTTAAGGTTGATATAGACTTTATAATTCTCTGATATTGTAATTTTAAATATAAAAAAATATTTTCTACAGCGTTATGACTACATCATCGAGACCATTCAATGTTATTTCTTAATGAAAAAAAAAATCTTTTTTTTTCTTTTTTTTAAAATAGAGTTAAGAGCTCCGTTTTTAGTATCACCCTGAACACGTCTTTCACTGGCATTGAAAGTGACCAGCTATGCAGGGAGACCAACTGCTCCGCTTTCTGGAATATTTTTAATAAAGTGGTATCAAATTATATAGTAAAATTCGTTAAAGAAGGATAGTTACGCCTACTTTTTAATAGAGTAACCACGAAATTGAAGCTTTAGCGTTGCGTTTTATATGATACTTATAATTTTTGATATGTAGTGGTGAATAAATTACTTAAAATGAAAAATACTGAACTGAAAGTAACTTAAATTTCGTTACCACTAGAAAATACTATTTCACAAAGCGGAGCAAGTTGGCATCCCTGGCTATGATAATAGCCTAATTACTATTTTTTTGATTTCCTTGTGCATGATTTTATTTCCAGTGGTAGAGAGGAGATGAGAAAATGCGATGCCCTGTGTATATTAGCAGGCGTCAAGATGAAACTGTTTGGTCACTACCCGAATCTGCCCTATTTACCTATAGTCCTATATTTTATTTCATAACCATCGTTGAACAGCTGACTGAACTTTCAGTTTAGGGCTACAAATGTTCAACTCCGTAGCCTTGTAATTTTGAACCCAATCCAGAAGACAAGTGAACTCCCGGATCTAGTAGTGGGAGAAATTTGCCATCGTAAAGGACTTTTTAATGGAACTAACCCGCATTTGCCCAACATGGAGAGGAAAACCAGGAAAACCACCCACGGTTTGCCTGAAGGCAAGGGGGTTCTAGCCCATGATCCGTCTACCACTGAGGATATATTACGTCAGCACTGTGGTATGTGCGAGCTGAATGCGGAATTCGAATCAACCTGCCATCGCCGGGATTCGAGCCCGGGTCACCTCATTATGAGGTGAGCATTCCATCCTCTGAGCCACCATGACTAGGCCTATATATGATTAATACCACTAAAGGTAAATTTTGACAGCTGAGTTAAGTAAGTTTTGAAACAGGGTAGCCAGATTAAAAATGCGAAAAACGCCGATTAATAAAATTTAGAATTTTATTTAAGGAAATTAAAATTTGCAACTTTCTATAGCATATTTTTTTCAGTTCACTTTTGAAAGTGAAAGCAAAAAAAAGTTTTTTTTTAATATGAATTATTTGAAATGTTGGTAGATAAACAGTGGTAGATACGATTGAATAACTAGTGATAATAGATGAAGAAAAGTGAATTGAATTTCAACCCCTTTTCACATTTTTAGTCTTCTGTGGCATCTATAAAACAAGTATCAAGTTTTTAATGCAATTTTTTTTGTGCCTTATATTTAGGAAGGAAGTAGAATGATAAATCTTAACAATGCAATGTGCTCACTTTGCGGCGTGATGAACCGTTTACTGGCGTCAGTTTAGCGGACCGGAATACAATAATTAAAAGATTAAATAAAATCAATTTAATGCAAAACTAATAATAATAATAATTATTATTTTATTACTAATTATTATAATAATTAATAAATGGAATTGCAATTGAAAGAACAGTTTAATACTCTTAAATTCGGAAACTATCCGATAGTCCAAAATAGTGATGAGGTTGTAACTAAACTTTGTAATAACATAACTTCTACACGCACCTTTGATATTGTAAATCTTTTTACTACTTTTCCTCTCAAACTTTTAATTTTAGCAATTTACTTCAATTTGTCTTATCTACACAAATTTAGTTTTATAGTGATAAATTTCTATAGCTTTGAAAATTTTGCCTTAATAAAAACTGCTTTAAAAAATTCTAATTCTAATTTATTTCATTTCTAATTATTAATTTATAAATAGTTAGTCTATCTAATTCTTAATCTAATTATTATCTATCTAATAATTAATTTATTATTTTATTAATTTTTAATTAATGATACATTATTTTTGCAACTACTTAGAAAATTATTTTCTGAAATTCTGTAGTCATTAGAGGCTATGATAATATTACGCGAGTGTTATTTTATAAAAAGAAGTTTTCTTCGAATTAAATTTCTTACCTGTTTCAGAATAGCATAAAATATGTCTTGGTGACTATTTAAATCGACTCCATTTGGTCCAGATGATTGGCAATCATCAGCATATCTTTGCTCGTCAAATATATCTAACTGCACAAATAATTCACTGTCGACGGCATCGGAAAACGTTGATCTAAAAATAAAAATGTCGTTAAATTAGTTATATATTAACTTGATTCAATAACAAGAAGTGGTAGAAAATTATTAGCTATTCTTCGTTTAAGATTTTTTCTCTAAGAAAATAAAAAATAAAGTCATAGATTGAGTGTCTTAAACTCGAAGCAAAGCCTTTATTTTGAGTACCAAGCATGATTTTTAAAAGAGAAACAGTGACTGCTTTGCCTTGCAATAACTGTGATAATTATCACTTCCAAACATACGACTCAATTTCACATGGCAATCATAAACAATTTTATATTTTATATCCGTCAATGAACAGCTGAACCAATCCAGAAGACAAGGAAACTCCCGTATCAGTACCTCCAGAGGTATGATTTGTTATGGGAACATGGAGGACTTTGCGACTCGACAGATTTAACGTGCATCAGTTACCATTTACTACACTGGGAGTCTTCGGCCGGACCGAACAAACGACCTCTTGGACATGCACCTAGTGCCCTACCAACCAGGCTATCACCCCAAGTCATAAGCAATTGGAAAAAAAAAATTCAAAAGTTGTTATCTGCATCAGTGTTTCCCTTTTTTTGTCACAACTTTTTTAGCACATTGCATCGCTGTCTGTTCCGATTATCAGAATTGCCGATTGTCATAATTAATTATAATAACTAATTATCCGTTTATTGGAATCAATTATGAAAATTCCGCCAATTTTTATATCATATGAAATAAACCTAAGAGATAGCTCCCTAAAAAATTATTCATTTCTAAAAATATAAACACTAACCATTTTTACTTGATTGAATCATAATTGAATTATAATCCCATTAGGTTTTCGTTATTGTGTTCACATAAAAGCTTTAAAAATAAGCAATTTAAAGAGAAAGAAAAAATGAGAACCTTACATACCTCAGTTTGGAAACAACGTCAAGTATTTTTAAACCTGCAAGAAAAGAAAAAAAAAAGTATATAAACCGTTAAAGTATAAAAGTAGATAAATCGTTTACAATATAATCTTTTTGTTATCAATTACTACCATAGAATTGTTGCTTTAAAGTTGTTGAAGATATTAAATTACGCACCTGTTTTTAATTATAACTTTTTTTACATTAAAGTAAAACAAAATGAATCATTTTGCTTACGTTAAAGATTTATTTTCCTTAGCACATTTTCTGAATACATGCAGCAAACTTTTGCCATAATATTGAAAACATATATAATTCAGTTGTTGTTGATTAAAATTTAAAGAAATGATAGACAACATTTTATTGAAGCTAGCGCAAACTTGCCACCATAACTAAAGCTTCAATTAAATTTTTTTTCGCCTGGTTATTGTAGTCATTACCACTATCATAAAAAAGTCCTCTTTTGAGATAATCATACTAGAGGTAATAACGAAGGTGTTATTCTCTCCAAAAACAAATGGAAAAAGAAATAGTTTTAATAAAGAACCTCGTATAAATTCTTATTTCTCTCAAAAAACGAGAACTCTCGATGTACTAATAATAATGTAATACATGCATAATATGTAATAAATTTAATAAATGTAATAAATTGTAATATTTTGTATATTGTTGTAAATGTAATATTTTAACCACAAATATTATTATTTTCAATTATCATTTATTTTTAAGTAGGGACCCCAAATACTACACTTTTTGCAAAATATTTCATGGATAGTTAAAAAATAGAGCAGCGTTGCAGCAGTCTGGTAGTTTAAATAAATTTTAAGCTACCAATAAATTTTTAATTTAAACTAAATATATATGGGATAATTATGTAATTCTTAAAGGAAAGTTAAATGTTAGCATTTTTCCATTGTCTTGAAAAATCTTGCTACCACTTATCATACCAGCCAACTCTTCCGGATTTTCCGGAAGATTTTGTTTTCATATTTAAAGTGGTAGTAAATATATACTTTTTTTTCTTTTATAAACTTAATTTTTAAATGATTTTGATCACCACTATTCTTACAAAAATTAAGCACATATATTAATATGCGTTACTATCATGGTTGTCAACTTAAGTTTGCTGATATACAACGTATTTGTTTGCTTAAAATTGAAGTTTTAATTCCATTTTAATACCACTGGGAAAAATGATAATGGAAGAGATTAAAAGTTGGCAGGTATGCACTTATTAATTTCTTAACACTTTACCGACCGGCCGTCGATTAATCGACGTTTTGTTCTCA